CAAACTTGAAGATACTAAAACACCTTTCAATGAACATCAGCCATAACCAATTTACTATTTTTACTCTAACGATTCGAAACCCCGGAGGGAATTATGAATAACCCTGTATATTTAATATTATTTGGTACAATTTTATCATTTAAAAAAAAAATAGTTCAAGTTATGTATTAATTTTTATGCTTGTATGTAAGTAAAAAAAAAGCGATTTTCTATGTAAAAATATAATTAAATTTCCCCTTATTGGTTAGAGTTTTTAATTACAATGAAAAATTATAAAAAAGTAATATGCTTTATTTAGACAATTTCATAGCATATAATTTAGCAGATTTTTTTTTTATGACTGAAATGTACACAATACATAATAAAATTATTCCACAGTATGCAAGGAATTAAATTGTATCTCTAAATAAAAATTTTTAAGCAATAATTGTAAATAATCAAGAAATAATTAATAAAGTTTCATAATTGAATTTCTTAGGAGGGTATTGAAATCTTGTATAACAATCTTGTATGTATAACAATCAATAACACATATTCATGGTTATGACTCTACACCTTTTATAACCGGTTGAGTAGTTTAATATCCCTTATTATCCGGTTATGTGAAACTTATTATACGATTATGTAAACTTATCCAAAGGAAATTAAATTAGGATTATCTGTTTCGGTTAATAGATAACATTCCTAACACAAAAGAACTGCACAAACACTAAGAAAAGTGCGCGAGAGCAAAATAAATGCGTTTTCCGCTTGGCAAAGAAATACAAACTATATTTTTTTATTCCCTTCAATTTCTTATCCCGTCTTTGTAAAATATACAGTAATAAGAAAAGAATTCAAGATAATTAAAACAATTAAAAACTATACTTCCAGTCCAAAAACGTGCTATGCAGCTGAAATTCGAAAAGGAATTGAAAAAAAAAAAAAAAACAAAAATANAAAAAAAAAAAAAAAAAAAAAAAAAAAAAAAAAAAAAAAGAAACACGGAAAAATGAAAAAAATACGACAACCGAAGCTGACGTCTTCAGGGGGTACCAACTCCGGATGCCATAAATGCAAAACCTTTTCTAGCGAGAGAGCACGACAAATGTCTAAATTGTTCTCTCTGTACCCCAAAGGTTTTGCTAAAGGTATACAATACGAAATATGAAATACATTAAGCAAATACAAAAGTATAAAATCAAGACGAATACATAAGAATAAAACGCTCAAAAACTTACTTGAAAACAAATCCCGTAACCAAATTACAGTACTGACTACCAAGAAACAACTAAATTGAAATAAACGAAAAAACAACGCCCCTTAATTTAATGCGCAGAACGAAGAAAAAAGGAAAGAAAAAAGAGCAAAAAAGTAAAATATACAATCTTTTACAAAACTATTCACAGCTACAAATGTAATTAAAATTTTTTAATCAGTAGAGTAGTTTACAACTGATTGTGTAAAATACGGAACTTATCCAGCCGAAATTAAATTAGGATTACCTGTTTTTGTTAATAGATAAAATTTCTAACACTAAAGAACAGCGCGAACGCTAAAAGAAAAGTGCGTGAGGGCAAAAGAAATACTTTTTTCGCTGGGCAAAAAATCAAAAAATATTTTTATTCGCTTCCATTTCTTTGCCTCTCTTTGTTAAATATCTAAAAATGTAATAAAAATACCATAAAAAGCAAAATTTTCAATTTACGACCAAAATGACTAGTAGCCATGAATCTAGTAACATACATTAATTAAATTCCATAAGTGACTGTTCAAAATGTTCACATAAAGTAAGGAAAAGTCAAAAACTATCAAAAGTTTAAAAAAGTAGATGCAAAATATACGTTTAATTCAAAATCTCGTCTAAATATCTGGTTCAGCAATGCTTCTGTTAACAAGAAGAAATCTTCCGTTTTACTCGAAAAACCAATGGGAAAAACAACGAAAGTTATGAGAGAAAGTTAAAAAATAAAAATGATCAAAAAATCATAAAAGTAGTTTGTTTGATTATTTTTCACTCGACCATCGTAAATATAAATGCTTTAATTTCTGACATAAAATTTGGCTTTTATTGAATATTTTTAATACGGACCTTTTATAAAAGTTACATTGAAAACAATTAAAATATATTTACCAGTAAAAATAATATATTTTCTTTTGTTGTTGCATACCTGTTAAGGCAGAGGGGTGCGATTGTTCTTGTTTTCCAGTGGCGCAATCTATGGCCAAGAATTCGACTTCTGCCACACCCACTCGTCACGCCCGTTTATAGGGCGGACCCATTCATACATTCACAGATCGTAATTTTGACATGAATTAGAGAAAGATCAATCTCTTATTCAGTACCCCCAGAGGTATTGATTTGTTATGGGGACATGGAGGATTTTGAGACTCGACAGATTTAACGTGCATCAGTCACCCTGCCGACCAGGCAATCCCGGCCCATATATTTATATATTTTCCTTTGCTAATTATGAAACAATTTTTCGTCCGAAAGAACGTATGACTCAAGCATAGTAGGCAAATTAAATAATTTCATAAAAAGCAACTAACATAATAATATCTGATTGCAATATTATGAGCAAATGCCATTGTTTTTGCTATTCAGAAACCAAGACTTAGAAATTGGACATACAAAAGTGTTTAGATAACTGTACAGAGAGTAAGAAGGAATTAAAAGAAAAAACAACTATTAAAACTATAAGATTTTAGACCACGTTGGCTTATAAGTAAGGAAGCGGACAGAAGTTTACATAATTTTTAAACTTCTACTAAAATTATTACTTTTTATTTTGATAACTCAAGTAAAATAATAGCTTAGGTAGGAATGGTGCTGCCATCTATCTTATTTTAAAATAACTATTATAATTTTTTCATTTCTTCAGTTTTTACCATATGAAACAAAATTGCTCGCCCTTGCCACCCCTCTTTTTAAAGAAAAGAAAAAAGACATTATAGATATATTAAACATTAACTTTACGTAACATTAATAAATTCTTATTGGAATTTATGTTTAAAAAGGATTATTGAATTCAGCCTTTGTATAGAACTAAATAAAAACTTTTGTTTCTAACTGCATTTAGTTTAAAATACCCTTAACTAAACTATTTTAAAGTTTTTTTCTTCACAGTTTAGATTTATAACATAATTAAATGCTAATTACTTCACATATACTATTCATTTTTATTCCTTTCAAAAATACATTTATAAAAATTTAAGTAAAATTTATTAAATACATCACAATTAAATAAATTCTTCATTACAAATAAATAAATTCCTCATTAAAATTATAAAAAAATTGCAGTTTAAAAAAAAATGTGATTTTATCAAAAATCAAAGGTTTTCTTCAGAACATCCCTGAGTTTCACGGAAAAATTATTGGAATTTATAGGCAGAATACAAGATGATATACTGATTATTTTATGTATAAGAGTGGTTCTATTTTTCACTAAATGTGAATTAATTAATAAGAAACCAAATTGCAAAATACATTACTTTAGAAGGCACAAGTAAGAAATTCTGATAATTTCTACTTTTCTCCAGTTTTTAAACAGTGTAAAAAGTCTTTTTTGCTTAAAAAAATAGAGAAAGTAACTAACTCAAATAAGAGCAAATGTTATTTTAATAATCAGAAAAAACTATCAATAAAATAATGACCAATCACTCTGTTTTTGTTTTTAATTGCACACAAAAGCTTCTAGTTTATTAAAAAAAGACAAAAGAATTTAGTGCCCCCAATTAAATTTTATTTAAAAATGTTAAATATTATGCATTTTTTTTAAATAATGTAATGATTTCCAGATCTCCTTTGTTAATTAAGGATCCCGTCATATGATTTTTCTGTTAACAAAAATACAAGAATGATAACGGTTTTAGACTGTTGACTTTCTTAGACATCTGATTGCTGGAAAACAAAATTATCTGAATTTTTTCTCAATTTGTAATTTTCTCTTTTTTAGTACTTTTACCTTCTTCTCTTTACATAGAAGATATTTAAAAGACTGTAGGTTTTAAGCTTAAAGGTAAAATTTACAAAATTTAAAGAGAGAAATTTTTTTTATTTAATTTAATAATAAGACACAGAAACACGGATTTATGATGGTATTGAGCGTATTTTAAAAGGCGAGAATTAAAATACGCGATTTTAGATTTCCCTGTCGTAATATTATATTAAAAATTAATTCGATTTAATGGAAGCCAAATGAAAAAGGGGCAAACATATTACATTGATTTAAAAATTGTTCAGGGTGCGTAGCCAAATCTTGCAACAAAAAATAAGCACCTTTTAAGCACTCAAAAAATACTTTTAAGCACTATATACATTAACAAAATGCAAAATAATTTATAAAGTCTCTACACGATCAAGATAAAAGAACTAGTTTTTTATTATTTTTATTATATTAGTCATTAAAAAATGATCAAGAGATTTCAGAGGGTGGAAAATGAAGCTAGAAATTGAGAATATCATGCAAAAGACAGAAGAGTTGAATGTGGGAGAGCAATAATCTCACAGAACCCAGCTCACTATACACACATGCAGACTCGAAAGTATTTCATAAAACCTGTAAAATGATTGGCGCTTTCGTATGCTATGGACCGACAGTACGCTGATATAGATTGTGGTTAAATGAATTGTGAAAACGTTGAATAGAACAATGCGAAAAGCACGCTTTTGCATAATGTGTGGTGAAAATGGACATGGCAAAGAAAAAAATCTCATTTTCAAAAAAGGAAAATTAAGCACTTTTTAAAAACACTCAATGAAAAAAGCACTTTTAAGGGCTTTTAAAAAAGGAAAATTGAAAATAAGCACCTTTAAGCACTTTTTAAAAACGCTACGCACCATGATGTTGTGTTAAAAACCGCACCTTTTCAACAAAATTGCTACTTATTAAAATATAAGTTTAAAACAAAAATGAGAAAAACACCACCATTTCTAGTCCATCCCATTTCAGAAATATTTAATAAAGTTGTAACACAAAGCAATTATTCTAAAAAAATATATATATAAAATACTCATATGAAACATTAACTTTCACATTTTATTTCAGATTCATTAATTTTTCTAGAAAGATCTGAATTTACATCAGAAATATCAATATTCATACTAATCTTCTCATTTTCTTCAACTAATTCAGTCACTTTTTCACCGGCATTAACTAATTCAGATGCTTTATCACAGTCTTTAACTAATTCAGTCTCCTTATCTACAACATCAGTACTAATGACGTTTAATGCATTTTGTTGATTCGCTTGCACTAGCTTAGGAGGTAACATAGATGGTGGCCCAGCATCTCTGACATCATAACTGTGATGAGGCAAAGTTTGAAGCCATTGTAGCATACTATACAATATTAAGGATACAAATATAATTTATGTTAAAAGTGACAATCCACAGAAATTTCAAACATGCACAGAGAACTGTGGTGGCTTAGGGGCCTACCAATGAGGTTAACCAGGTTTGAATCCTAGTGATGGCTGGTCAATACGAATTCCGCACCCCCGTGCTAAATATTCCTCTGCGGACATAAAAAATATCCTTAATGGTAGCCGGATCATGGGTCTTGGCCATCAGGCTAAGCATGGGAGGTTTTCTCGCCATGTAACGCAAATGAGGGTTAGTTACACTAAAAAGTCCTAAAGGAAGGCAAATTTCTCCTAACACTTGATCCAGGAGTTCTTTTGTCTTCTGAATTGGGTTCAAAATTACAAGGCTATGGAGTGGAACATTATTAGTCGTAAACCCAAAATTAGGTGGGCTACTCAAATAGGTAATAAATAGATAATAGATAGCAATGCTTCGTACTCATCTCCATCAAAGTTTTGGTTTTTCAAACATATTTCCAGGGCTATGTAGGAAGACACATACAATAGCAGATCTAGAATTTATTCAATGGTTTGCATGAAAATATTCAACATCTTCGTATAATTATTTATATTTATTTATGTTATCCATGTGGTTACTCGATAAATTTTTTGTTTGATTCGCGGCACAACATAAGACTTTAATTTTTTTAAAATCTATATATAATTTTTGAACAAATTAAACCAAAGAGGTGTTTTTAAACCCTTACAAAGGAAATAAAATTTTTCTAGACCACCTAAATAAAATTGTTTCTAAGCAAAAGAAACAGTCCAAGTTATGCTCATAATAACAGGGTTTTATGTGGAAATTTTTATTTTAAACCAACCATTAAAAAAATCCTTTTAAACTCTTAGAATTAAGAGTTTCTATTGAACAATAACTTTGGTAAAAGCTTTATTCAAAGTTTAAATTTAAGGTACATAAAGTAGCAAATTCAAAATAGAGATTGTAAACAAAATCGAGATCAAAGTAAAATAATAAAAATTGCAAGAAAAAATGTTAGCTACAACGCTTAAAATTTCTATCGCAGTTATAGAGTAAATATTAGAAGAAATAAACACATACCAAGCTAATTACATAAAAGATACAAGATATGATTAATTTTTCAATTTCAAAATAATAAAAGGATACGATTTTTCTTCTCTTTCAGTTTTGGCTATATTTGCACAAATTTTCTCTTTTTTAAAAGTTTCAATTACATCCTAAAATAAATAGGTTAAAGAAAACTAAATATATATTTTTCACATATCAGTTGAATCTATATTAAATTTAAAATATTATATATTAATTATATTACATGTTAATAAGTACAGTGTCACCCCCTTTTTACGTTGTCCGCTTTATATGTTATCCCGCTTCCTACCTCATTTTCCGCAAGTTCGTGAAAATCACCTATGCCGATAATGTTAAATTATACCGGATTTCATGTTAGACATTTTAGGAAAATCCTGCTTTATAGGTTTTTTTTTTTAAACAGGTCAAAATTATTCTCTCTTTTTTTTCTTGCAAAGCTCGTACAAACTTTTCTTGAGTTTTCTTTTGCTCTTTCTTTAAAAGAAAAGAGAGATAGCTTTGTTTATTAGCTGTATGTAGCTTTTCCGACATTCTCTCGAACCAATTGTCCCTTTACCTGTGAAAGGGGATTTCTCCCTTTGAGTCAAAATCAGAAGGGTGGTGGTAAGGACAAAGCACAGGAAGAAAGGTTAATGAAAGTATAAGAGCTTAAGATTTAAAACTTCCGAGCAAAATTTTTTTCCAGCAAACTTCAACCTTTGAATAATTCTATCATTCAAAGAACGCTATACTTAACAACTGGTTAGGTAATCATTTCTATTTTTTGATTCCGGTGACTTCAAAATAATTGACACGGAAGCCCTGAATTTGATTTCTACTGCGTTGGATAATGTCAACTGAAATGCATCACAAATGGGTTTAAAAAAGTTTTTTGGGGATCAATTACTTTTATGTATCCAACGGCAACAATGACATTTCGGAATAAAATTGCGTAGCTGAAAATCTTTTGAAGTCGACTGTAACACATACATCCCATTACTTTGTAATTCTTTTAATATCTTATTTAATGTTTATTCCCAATGAAAGTGATAAAAATGAGCAGGAGGATGTACCCACAAGTGATCAAGAGTTTGAAAGCAAGGAAACTTAAAACATTTGTTAATGTAAACCATAAAGGAAATTTACATGCAATAATAAGTATTGAGGGATATTATTGAAATTGTATCTAAAAAAAAAACTGTGTAAAGACTACACATTTTTCCAAGTAGTTCAGCTCCTAAGAGTCAATTTTGAAGAATATGCTTAAATTTTTTTAACCCCAATTTTAAGCTATCCCACTTCGTGCCTTTTTTAAATGCTAGTCTGATGGAAGATGTAAAATCAGTGTTCCACTGTATTATATATTACACATTAATTACATACTTTGTACTGGTCCCATTTTAAAGGTTCGTGAATACCATCAGAGCCATATTTTGTATCATACCAATCATAGTGGAGTTCTTCTAACATTAAACCAAGGCCTGGAGCTTTTGGAATGTCTATCTAAACATACATAAAATATTTTTTTTCAGACAAGCACAATTTTGAGAAAGAAATATGAATAGAACCTAATTAATTAATATTTAAAGTAAGGAGCATTAAAAAAATATAGAAAGATAAATAATTTGCAAAAGAAGTAAATTTCAACTATTTTATGTCACAGATGCAGTAAAAACCTGGTGTTTAAGAAGTGTTAAAAAAAAACTTCAATGTAAAATTAATTTGCTTGGAAACATAAACCATTTCTATTATAAAATAGATTTGAATTTGAGTCTTACTCTAGTTAAATAGAACATTCTCATTTAGTGCTTGATAGTGACTAACACTTTATTAGTTGTAACTGAAAACTTTGAATTGAAGGAAATGAAAATATTTGCGTCTCTTTTTGCTAAAATTCAACATTACTGTTCAGCAGCTGACCCGGATTTCTAGGAATACGTTGGAAAATCTTCTAGTATTCCATTTTTAAAAAATGTTCGGCAATCGATACCTCGATATATTTCTTTATAATATACAGAGTTCTCATTCTAATCTTCAAACTTTTGTTGGCTTCCTCTCTCTCTTTTATCTTTTACTGTTTTTTCTTTTTACAATGATCAATCTATTTTCCGTATTGTACTTTCTTCTGCATCTCTACGCTTTTTTTTTCATTTTGGGTCATGACACCAAAGATATTATAGTACAGAAATGATCTTATCTGCTATTGTGACATTTGTATTTGTTTCACTTTTTTTTTACTTTTATTCATAATTAGTACTATTTTAATCCTTTCTTTATTTGGATAAAACAAAGACTGTTAGTATTGTCAGAAAGAATGATAGCATTATCTGAGAAATACAAGCTAGGAAGATTCATCTCTGTTAGGGAGAAAAAAAATTATTAGTCTTTAAAAAAAAAAAAAAAAAAAGAAATAAAGTACAAAATAAATCAAAATAATAATTTAATTCCTATTCTTCCAGATTGATTATGTTTTTTTAGTTCTTAATTACTGAATTCTAAAATATTTTTTAATATGATTCTAACTTTTCCCATTTTAAGTTAACTCAAAGTCTATATACACCATCCGTAAATCTTCCAAACTGAAAATGTTCAAAAATTAATACAAATTCAAGTATAAAGAAGAGGAAGACATCATAAAGTCTGAAGAGAAGGAAAAGAGATTTGGATGGTAAAGCTCAAAGTAAACAGAATGGATTTTCCTAATAATCACTATGAATCTTCTAGAAAAAAAACTTTTCTAATGAGTCCTTTCAATTCAGTTGCAATGTTAGTTTTGCACACAAGTTTCTCTGCACTACATGTTTTTAGAGCTCAAAAGCATAGTATTATGCTCCGAAAACTCATCAAACGCTCCACAACTCATAAGAGAAGAGAAGATAAATTTTAACTCTTAGATAATGTCTAAATACAGAACTTAACCAAAGAAAATAAAATGTAAACTGTAAAGTTGAAAAATATGGAAATGCTTTTGTAACTGACAGTAAAAACCGGGAAAAAGTTAAACTCCATTAAAAAATACAATTACTTTATATTGATTCATGCAATATTCTCACATCTTTTGACATGTTTATTTACTAAAAAGTAAATACATGAAAATAATTTAGCTCCATTAATGAGTTTGATAATGCAAACAATGTTTATGTATACAAATGAGATAAAAATTGCAATCATCTAAGCAGTTATTAATAATTAATTCTCCAAAATCTGTATTGTGACTAAGGTAATATTTTATACATAAAAATATTATGTCATTAAAAAAATATGTGATAAATTGTGAAACAATGAAATTAGAAAGGCAAAAAAAATGTAAATGCTGTAATAAGAGACTCTCTGAATATTTTCGATATAAATTCCATAACATGATTTAAGTTCTTTATTTTCATAAAATGACCATAAGCAAAATAAATTAGAATATTTGTTAATTAAATAAGGTAAATCAAATATTACATAATAATTATAAAAGCTGAATTTCCAAACATAGAAATAAAAACTGATATTTGTTAAAACATGCACTTTCAAATCATTCTTAAATACACAAATTTTAAAACAAATAAGTACTATGAATTTAAAAAAAAAAACAAAAACATTAATAATTATATAAAAAAAAAAAAAATTTAAGTCCCCTTTAAACATATAGATAAAAAATATTTGTTAAAACATGTATTTTCAAATTGTTTTACAACTTAACAGTACAGTAAAAAATATTGTTAAGACACAGATGAAATAAATAATTACCATAAACAGTAACAAATATTACTAACTTAATCATGTGCAAGTTTAAAAGAAAACTAACTAGTGTTGTAAATCATAATTCATGAAAAAACTATAAATATACCCTTTCATTTTCCCAAGTCTTTTTTAAAATGTCCTCACCAGTCAAATTCCTCATATATGCAATAGCTAATCCTACCATTTTACGAATCTGATGCAACATGAAGCTCTGACCTTTCACTTGAATAACTGTAAATTCTATGCCACTGGATTCAAACGGAGAAGAGCACTAAAATTTAAAAAAAAAACATTTAAATTTAATTGGATTTTAAAGTAAAAACAGAGATTTAAGATAAAAAACAGAAAATTATATAATAACAAAATTAAAATAATAAAGAAAAGATATTAGAAAGATTTTTACTTTAATGACTTCAATCAGAAATACCTATACTGGGTTACCACTCATATCTGGAAAAAAATATTCCCTGTGTTTTCCCTGCACATATTATATATTAAGAGGAAGCACATATATAAATACTTTTATTTATACATATTTTTTGCACATATATAAAGAGGAAGATCTCATTCATTGTGTTCATGTGTGAGCTATTTCAGGATATTCAGGGTATCTGCTACATTTTTGATTCTCGAATGTATGACATTTCATGACTGATTCTAAGAACTTTTCATGACTTAACAAAGTTACTATTTTCTCTGACAATAACACAACAATAAATTAAAAAAAAAGCATTTATAACAACATTAATTGAAATGATAGGTATAACCAAAACTGTTATACTCTGCATCTACATATTTATAGATTTTAAATTTAAAAAACAGAGTCAAGAAATAGTTAAAGCAATAAAATAGTGGAAAAAAATACAAAAGTAAAAAATTTTTTTCTTCTTCTGCAGAAATACATTCTAAAGATACTTTTCTTGTTCATTGGAAAGGAGATAAATACTCCTGATTTTTCTGTTCTCATTTCAGAATTAAAAAAAATCGCCAATGACTGGCTTGCTTCAGATAGAATTTTAAATTGATAATATTTAATAAAAAAAAAAAATTATAATAGAAATTCCGACATCACAGAAGTTTAAAATATAATTCACTCTAAAAATGTTTTTACTTTCATTTTTTGAAAGAAGGCCATAATTTTTAAAGAATATGATAAAAACATTTTATGTTTCAATAAAATATGACTGTGAATGGGGATTTTGTAACAAATCCAGATATTCGAAGCACAATGAAATGGGGGGTGGGGGGGGGATTCCATTTTCAAAATTAGATTTTTTGGGGGACCTAAATCCAACTTTCCTTGATATGAAAAAAAAAAAAAAAACCCCCAGTTAAAATCTGATATTTCATGACAAATTTTGTTCAATACCTCCAGGTGCGCAGATAGCCTGGATATTGATACTAGCTTTAATTGCTGGAAATAAGAAACAGCTCAACCTACTTAAAACAAATAATAAACAATAAATTATGGTATAGTATAATATAGATGAACTATCATCTTTAAATATCCCATACATGGCCTTTTTTAAAAACACCGAATTAAGAAATAAAATTTCCTCAATTTTCCAAGTTAGTAAGGAAATATTCAAATTGACTTATTTTAGGTGATTTATATAAACAAATGTTAAATAAATGTTAATCTTCATAAATATATGTATACAAATTTTAAGAACATAAGAAAAAATTTGTTTTTCTTAAGAACTCTTAAGAACTAAGAGAAAAACAGAGACTAAAGTATGAGAAACTATATAAAGATTTTTTTAAAGATATAAAGATTTAAAAAAGAATTATTTTTTTAATTAGTTAATTTAGTTTAGTTTAAATTGCTTAGAAAAGATTTTTTAAATTGTTTTAGCTCTTGTGTTTTACTATTTTCGAAAAATATTAATTTTGAGTGAATTTTATTTCCGATTTAGGTACATAATGCTTATTGCTAAAAATCTAAATTTTATGAAATATAGTTATAAAATACCTCAATGTATTTAGGTACTATTCATTAGTGAATNCGGGGAAGTCATTCTCTCACACTTACGCGCGTCAAAAAGTTAAACATAGAAATACTGGAAATAGGGCTGTTTTCCTGAGTTTTCGATACTTTTCAAGGTCATTTCGAAATTTTCAAGGATTTAATATCATTTTCAAGTACTTCTAGGGGCCCTTGAAAATCAAAATGAAATTCAAGTACTTTTCAAGGCCGCGGGAACCATGTCAAAGGTGACAGAATGGATTTTCCTATTAATTACTATGAATCTTCTAGAAAAAAAACTTTTCTTCTGAGTCCTTTCAATTCAGTTGCAATGTTAGTTTTGCACACAAGTTCCTCTGCACTACATGTTTTTAGAACTCAAAAGCATAGTATAATGCTCCGAAAACTCATAAGTAAGGAGAAGATAAGATAAATTTATAACTCTTACATAATGTCTAAATACAGAACTTAACCAAAGAAAATAAAGTGTAAATTGTAAAGCTCAAAAATATGGAAATGCTTTTGTAACTGACAGTAAAAACCGGGAAAAAAGTTAAACTCCATTAAAAAGTACAATTACTTTATATTGATTAATGTAATATTCTCACACCATTTGACATGTTTATTTACTAAACAGTAAATACATGAAAATAATTTAGTTCTATTCATGAGTTTTAATAATGCAAACAATGTTTACATATACAAATGAAATAAAAATAGCAAATTTCTAAGCAGTTATTAATAATTAATACTCCAAAATCTGTATTGTGACTAAGGTAATATTTAATGCATAAAAACATTATGTCATTAAAAAGTTATGTGATAAATTGTGAAACAATAAAATTAGAAAGGCTATTAAAATGCAAATGAACTGCTTGCTATAATAAGAGACTCTTTGAATATGTTCTATATAAATTTCCTAACATGATTTAAGTTCTTTATTTTTATAAAATGACCACAAGCAAAATAAATTAGAATATGTGTTAATTAAATAAGGTAAATCAAAATATTACATAATAATTACAAAAGCTGAATTTCCAAACATAGAAATAAAAACTGATATTTGTCAAAACATGCACTTTTAAATCATTTCTGAATACACAAATTTTTAAACAAATAAGTACCATTTAAAAAACATTAATAATTATAAAAAAAAAAATAAAAATGAAAGTTCCTCTAAATATGTGGATAAAAAATATTTGTTAAAACATGCACTTTCAAATTGTTTTGCAACTTAACAGTACAGTAATAAATATTGTTAAGACACAGATGAAATAAATAAGTACCATAAACGGTAACAAATATTACTAACTTAATCACGTGCAAGTTTAAAAGAAAACTTGTAAATCGTAATTTACAAAATAATAATAATAATATTACCCTTTCATTTTCCCAAGTCTTTTTTAAAATGTCATCACCAGTCAAATTCCTCATGTATGCAATAGCTAATCCTACCATTTTACGAATCTGATGCAACATGAAGCTCTGACCTTTCACTTGAATTACTGTAAATTCTATGCCATTGGATTCAAATGGAGAAGAGCACTAAAATTTAAAAAAATAAAAAAAATAGAGATTTAAGATAAAAACACAGAAAATTATATAACAAAATAAAAATAAATAAATTAAAAAAAAAAAAAAGATATTAGAAAGATTTTCACTTTAATGACTTCAATCAGAAATTACCTACACTGGTTACCACTCATATCTGGAAAAAAATATTCCCTGTGTTTTCGATGCACATATTATATACAATATATAAAGAGGAAAATCCCATTCATTGTGAGCTATTTCAGGTTATTCAGGGTATCTGCTATATTTTCAAATCCATGACTTTTCATGACTAATTCCAAGAATTTTTCATAACTTAACAAAGTTAGTATTTTCTCTGACAAAAACACAACAATAAATTTAAAAAAGCATTTATAATAACATTAATTGAAATGATAGGCATAACAGAAACTGTTATACTCTGGATCTTCATATTTGTAGATTTTAAATTTAAAAAACAGAGTTAAGAAAGAATTAAAGCAATAAAATTGCGGAAAAAAATACAAAAGTAAATAATTTTTTCTTCTTCTGCAGAATTATATTCTAAAGATACTTTTCTTGTTCATGAGAAAGGAGAGAAATACTCCGGATTTTTCTGTTCTCATTTCGGAATAAAAAAAATTCACCAATGACTGGGTTGCTTCAGATAGAATTTTAAATTGATAAAATAAAATAAAAAATAATAGAAATTCTGAAATCACAGAAGTTTAAAATATAATTCACTCTAAAAATTTCTTTTCTTTCATTTTTTGAAAGAACGCCATAATTTTTAAAGAAGATGACAAAAACATTTTATGCTTCAATAAAATATGACTGTGAATGGGGATTTTGTAACAAATTCAGATATTCGAAACACCATGAAATTAGGGGGGGGGGAGGTAAATTCCATTTTAAAAATTAGACTNAATTAGGGGGGGGGGGAGGTAAATTCCATTTTAAAAATTAGATTTTTCAGGGACCTAAACCAGACTTTCCACGATATTAAAAAAAAAAACAGTTAAAATCATGACATTTCATGACAAATTTTGTTCAATACCAAAATTCATGACTTTCCATTATTTTTCATGACTTTACAGGTACGCAGATATCCTGGATATTGATACTAACTTTAATTGCTGGAAATAAGAAACAGCTCAACCTACTTAAAGTAAATAATGCTACAAATGATAAACAATAAATAATAGTAAATGAAATAGTATAATATAGATGAACTATCATCTTTAAATATCCCATACATGGCCTTTTTTAAAAACACCAAAATCAGAAATAAAATTCCCCCAATTTTCCCAGTTAGTTAGGAAATATTCAAAATTACCAGTTATTTTAGATGATTTATATAAAAAAATGTTAATCTTTAGAAATATATATACAAATTTTAAGAACGTACGTAAAAATTTTTCTTCCCTAAGAGAAAAATAGAGACTAAAAAGTATGAGAAACTATAAAAAATTTTAGAAAAAAAAATTTTTTTTTTCTTCCCCCAAATTAGTTTAGTTTAAAATATTTAGAAAAGATTTTTAAATTGTTTTAGTTCTTGTGTTTTACTATTATCAAAAAATAATAATTTTGAGTGAATTTTATTTCTGAATCAGGTACGTTATGCTTATTGCTAAAAATCTAAATTTTATGAAATATAGTTATAAAATAACTCAATGTATTCAGGTACTATTCAGTAGTGAATCAACTTTGTGATGTATACAGTTACAAAGCAAACAGATATTTTATTCAAATTTGTTTTGATGACTATTTTGTATTTTTTATATTTTTGTTTGTTGCATGAAAAATTATTTGAAATCTATTCATAAAATTAAAAAATATGATTAAAATCATTATTTTGGAATGTAAAATTATAGAATTAAAAAAAGAAGAAGATTTATTAGTTAAAATTAATTTCATTTATCGTTTTTTCAAAAAGATAAATGAAAATTAAACATTTTTTAAAATTTATTTTTGTTAAACAGGTTAGCAGCTAAATGTTTTGGAGTAGTAAATTTGTAATGAATAATAAAATAATAATTTTGAGTGAATTTTATTTCTGAATTAGGTACATTATGCTTATTGCTAAATATCTAAACTTTATGAAATATAGTTATAAAATAACTCAACGTATTCAGGTACTATTCAGCAGTGAATCAACTTTGTGATGTATAACAGCTACAAATCAAACAGATATTTTATTCAAATTTGTTTTGATGACTATTTTGCATTTTTTATAATATTTTTGTTTGTTGCATGAAAAATTATTTGAAATCTATTCATAAAATTAAAAAAAATATGATTAAATTCATTACTTTGGAATGTAAAATTACAGAATTAAAAAAAAAGATTTATTAGTTAAAATTAATTTTATTTATTGTTTTTTCTAAAAGATAAATGAAAATAAAACATTTTTAAAATTTATTTTTCTTAAACAGGTTAGCAGCTAAATTTTTTGGAGTAGTAAATTTGTAATGAAACTGGAAAGAAATTTTTAAATAGCAGTTATTCACGGTCATATATAAATTAAAAAAAATAAATCATTATGCGTATTAACATTATTGTAATATCCTAAATATTTCTAGAAATACTTTTAATAAGAAGTTTAAAATACACTTGCATTCAAAAAATAATAACTCGATTTGATCAAATATTTAATATTGATATTTTTGTTATATTGATTGTTTGCACGATCCCCAACTGGTAACCTTTCTTTAGATTGTTCACACCCTTCTCCCAAACGAAGGGTAATAGTATTGTCAAATACCAAGTGATAAACGAGGAGCCCGAAAGCAAATTTCTGGCGAAAAAAACACAATTATTTTAAACAGAAATTTTTTGTAATTTTCTTAAAACCTTTAAAAACTGGAGGCAATTTTCACTAAAAATGATTAGAAAAAATCTACAGCTAAAAAAGTTATTATTTTAAAAATATTCCTTAATCAGAAGAAAAAACGAATTTCAAATCAGCTAAACTAACCTCACAAGACATCATGTATCTTTTGCAACTTGGATCACCAGGCAATCTGTAAATAATTAAATAAGTATTAAAAGTTTAAAATGTTTAGCATTAAAAGTTTAAGAAGCACGAGTAAAATACTACTATACCTCCCAGATGTAAAGTTGTAATAGTTATGGGTTCCTAAAAAACTCTTCAAGAAAACATTTACTTCTTGAACTCGTTCATCTGCAAAAAAAGAATTATATTAAAAACCAAAAGTGAAAATATAGTATACACACCACTAAATATTTTAGAAGATGATTCCTCCATTCATCATATAAAAACTTTACAATATGATTAATGTATTGTTGATTGAAATCAATTATTTTTAAAATCAGATGAAAGGGATGATCAATAATTTAGAAACTAAAAACTTCCACCCTATAAGCTAAAATTGAGACCTGAACCTAATGTTTTCCAAAATTTTAATAAGGGATTGAATAACTCTATTTAGATTACGAAAAAAAAAAAAAGACATCGACCCTAGGAAATAAATGTTGCATGATCAATTTTCTAATATAATGCTAACTTTTATAGGAACAATGTGAAACTCTAACACAATGTTTGTGAATCTCAGATGATTGTGAATTTATTTTGATGTGATATTTGATTTTTTTCTTTGGTTTGATCATTATTGAACCCTTATCAATCAGCTTCATAAAAAAGAACTTCCCCAAACTTTCTCAGAAACTGCAATTCATTGCTCTAGAATTTTAATCGCCACCTATTATTTTTTCTAATTTTATCAAACCACCTCGTTTGAAGAGAATTGATGCCATGAGGATATCAGTCCAATATGAAAGTCTAGCAAGTCTTCGAGTAGATGTGCTAGTGAGAGAACAAGTGTCTGTTTTATATGTAATCAAACTTTCCTTTTCACATAGAATGTTACATTAAATTTTAGTATGATGCTATCTTTGCCAAAATAACTCCTACTAAAATTGAATGTGAAACACTGTCACAAATATTTCAGAAAACTGCGAACTGATTCGGATGTAATTACATCCATTTAAAACAGCTACATTGATATTGACGTGATTGTTTATAATATATTTACAAAACACAAACACCTTTTAGTTTAACAGTGCCTCTTAGTACCAAAAATATAAGAATACAAAATATTCTGCAATGTGCCAAATTCCTAATCTCTAACAAAAAGTCATGAAGGAAAAAAAAAATGAAAATCTTTAAAGAAAATTGGATATCATAGACGATTTTTAGAAATAAGTTTTTTCTTTTCTTTCAAAAGTGGCCATTTTTTTTTGCATTAAAGCGTTTCACTTGACTAATTTTCTTACATTATTACTAAGTCTATGGAAAACTGCACTTGTGAACTAAATTTGATAAGTTTTTTTTATTTTACTTATACAGCTAGCTAAATCTGCATAATATTTGATTTAATTATTTTGAATGCATGATTTAAGATCTTTATATTTAGCCTTATAACAAAAATAAATAAATAAACAAAAACCCTTTTACTGATATAACATTGCCTTACAAGATCATAGTACTAAATGAAAAAAAAAAAAAATTATTGATTCTGTATAAGATTTGATGCATGTTCTTTTGAATGCATGATTAAGCTCTTTATATTGAACCATAACATTATTTTTTATTGTTATATAACAAAACAAAAAAAAATAAATAAAAATAAAACCTTTTACTGATATAACATAACATTGCCTTACAAGATTATAGTATTAAATGAAAAAAAAATTAATCGAATTTTAAATTTTGTAGGTATTTACCTTTAACCATAATAGTAAAAAAATTAATTGAATTTTAAATTTTGATGGTATTTACCTTTAACCATAATAGTCATCATTATGATAAAAAATAAACAAACAAGAAGGACAAAACGATGGCTGCTTCAGATTTTTTAAAATATAGATTTCTTTTCTAATAAGAATTCCACCAGAAAAAGTTTACGAAGTTTAGTAATAAAAAGATATGATTTTTAAATTAAAACATTTAAAAAACTATACATTTCCATAATGAGAACTTTATTTAAATTTAAAGCTTGCCCTCTTTACTTCAAAAAATCAGATAAAAAATATAATAAAAACAATAGCATAACAGTTTCAATCGATAAATGTATCAAGTTAAAATTCTGTTATATGAGTAAATATATTTATGACATTAAAACTGATATTGCAAGGACTATAATTCTAACTAGTATTTAGATTACACAATGAGAATAGCTCAAAAAATATTTTTGCAATAGCAGGCCTGCCATAAATGATTATCAGTGCAATAAATAAAAAAAAGCAATGCAAAGTCAATAATTACTTACCAGTTATACGGTATTCTTCTGAACTTCCCTCAACATTTGGGGCAAAGGCAAATGTTGGTAGCATATAAGAGTAAGTTCTAGCATCACAAGCAATTTTTGCATCAAAAGCCTGAGTTACTCTTTTATAAGCTACAAAAAGATTGAAAAAAATTTATTTACACTTCAGAAAAGAAAAAATACATTCAATTAATTATTCTCAAACATTCATACACTGTAACAACTTACATAACTTGAAAATCAGCTTTGCAAAATAAATTTTCATTTTGAAATTCATAAATTTTAAATTGAGATTTATTTGGCTAGCAGTTACTATTTTTTTAATGATCTACTTTCTTCAATTTGTTTATAAAACATTTGGCATAGCAGAACATGAAGATATTGAAAATCTTTGTCATAGACAACTTTAAAATGTTTAAGAAGCCTCAACCCTTGCCGTCTTGGATTCTAGGATAAATGCTTATCTTAATAAACTATTGTAGATATAGCTTTTATCTACTATATCTGATATAGCTTTTATTATGTTAATTAGATTAATCTACAATAGTTTGTTAATTAGAGTTATCTACAATAGTTTGTAATTAGACAGCGCAATACCTTTGAAAAGGGTAGAAAATAAAGGGGTTGCTTAATAGATTAGGAGAAATAGCGTTTGATAATCTTTGGAACACCGATGAATTCTTCCTCAAATCTTTTCAGCAATAAAATAATATCATTTTGAGTAAGTAATTTAAAACTACAAGGTTCTCAGTTTTTATATTTTTCAAAATATGACCTTATTGTAGTTTAAATTGATGAAAATCAATTTGGATGACGCTAAAAAAATTAACATTTATTATACAAAAATAAAGTTACTTAAAACTTACAAAATTTTAACTGCTTACTATTTAATATCTTTCAAAAAGTGCTAAATGCAGACTTGAATTGGCATAATTTTGCAAGAAAAAAATTAATTGAGAATCTAAAATGCTGCAAAGCTTTACATTTCAAATTCTGATAGGGTGACGACCTTGGACTTTACAGTTATCAAAAGATAGTGCCAAATAGAGTCATCATCAGTTTATTTGCGAAATGAAATAAATCTCAATTTGTTAAAATAAAATCAGACTTATAAAAACTGCAATAGTTACCAACAACTCTAACTTCAGGTGGAAGGTACTGGTTGATTTTTTGTGGAAGGGTTTCACATATTTCTTTTATGGGTATCTTTAAAGAGACTATGTTTCGGACTGCAGAAACACCTTTATCTGTTCGAGCAGCTCTTTGAAACTTCATAGTTTTTGGATGATTAAACTCATCTTCTAAGATTATATTGGCTTTTAGAAGAGCTTTTAATAACTCTTCTTCAACGGTATTTACATTTTGATTTCTAAAACGAGAATAAAATATAGCATTTAGAATATAAGAAGAAAAAATAAAAGATTTAGTTACTAAAGAAAAGCATCACAATAAGAGTAGACTTATAAATATCTACAAAAGATCAATAAGCTCGTAATACTTACACAACTACTTACTTATTATGGTTAGATATTTTTGCTTAATTAAAAAATTATTTTATATAATAATATCTGATTTCAATTCTTTTCACGAAGTTCATACATAACAAAATAAGCAAGATAATTTTGAGAAGACAAGCCTAATGCTTATGAAAATAATATATTTCCCTTTTCAAGAACTTATAAGGACAAATTTAAGTGTAAAATCAAAAATTTAAAAGGCTATTTCTAGCAGAGTGTAAATAATTTAAATAAAATCATTAAAACCAGCCACTTAAATTGGGAGAACGAAAAACAACATCTTTAAACCATCTAAACTAAGAAATTTTTTTTTGAGAAATATGATTTTTTGTTCAAGTTCAAGTATTCAGTAAAGAAAATAGAAGTGCTTCAAAGAAGAAATTATAGATTATTAAATATGTTCATATAATACTGATTGAAAACAATATACAAAAAAAAAAAGCTTTTTTTATTTTTTAAAATATATTTATCATTATAGCAACTAGCTCTTATAGCTAATTTACATAACAGATGAAAATATTTCTTAAATTAGTAGATTGATAGTCAAATTTATTATAAACAGTGAAGATGGTTTAAACATACAGTTTATGTGATTTTCTTATAAGTTTCATAAAGAAATGACAAATTATTAAAACAAACAATATAAAAAAGCAAAGCAGTCAATAAAATCTTTTCAGTCTAACACAAAAACTTATATAAATTTCTTTTCTTAGATTATAAAGGGGTTCAATCCAAAATTGTTATTCATTCTGAGGGAATTATTTTAAAGGGTTATTTTAGAAAAAAAAAAAAGTCCTTGCTGCATACATAACAAAATGAAAAAGATTACAAGAGTCATGATAGAAAAGCGAATGTATCGGTTGTTTAAGTGGCAATAAAGAACCAATAAAGAACATAGTTTTTGTTTGTCTTGCTTATTATTCAATTTATGCTGTTTTTATGTGGCTAAGATATTTTGAGACATTTTCAAAGAATTTATTTTTTTACATGTGCATATTTTATTTATTTAAAACACCCTATGTAGTTTTTATTACTTGTGAAGAAAAATATATATTGCATTACACAAAGAGAATAATTTGTAACAAAGAGAATGACTTGTAACATTATACAAAAAAGTTTCAAAAGTATTCATAAGAATTATCTGTTTAAAGTTAAAGTAAAATTTTGAACAGTGTTTTGCAAATCATTTGGACAATCCTTATTATCATGGGTTAGATCATTTTCATGATAATTGTTTAAATACAATCAAAATAACTTTAATAAATTATCTTTGCATACCTGCAGTTGAAGATATAATTTACTTCTACATTTGGTGTCATTAATCAACTTTATTTTAAAAAAAAAGTACATATCTAGAGGTTTTATAATTATAATTGCTTCTAGGAGAATTTTCGACATGGTATTTGAGTCTACAATAGCACAGAAAGAGTATGTTTTCCCAATAGGGAAGTAACATGTTCTTGAAATTGACCATTTTGACAATTAAAAATTGTTAATAAGGGTTTCAAAAGTGTATTTCTATAATCTAAAGCTAATTTTTTATTTGACATTCAAAAATTGCTTTATCCTAAAAAGTTCTCTTTGTTGTAGTTAATTTCTTTATCTATACTTCAGCAATTAAATAATTAAATGTATGTCTACACAATAGCTTTTTCTTAAATTAAAAAATATAACTATTGCAATTTAGTAAACTACATGAAACTATGTTCTATCAATAGATTTATCTTTATGTTTTTTCCAAGTCTTGCAAGATCAATCAACAGATTATACTTTGATTAAATAATTTTTTTTCCAGCTGAAATACCACAGCCAGAATTTTAATTTACAATCTTTTACTAGACAATATTTAAAAAGTTTTATTCTAGGGTTGCCACTCTATTACAGAAAAAAAAATTACTGTGCTCTTGTGTGAGCTATACTGGGCTAACTATACTAGTTTTAATTGCTGGAAAAATTTAAAGAAAAAAGGAACAGCTGAACATACTTAATTATATATAATAATGCATATATAATAACGATATAGTAAATGAAATAGTTTAGTATAGTTGGAATATCATCCTTAAACATCCCATATATTACACATTGAGTGGTCACCAGTGTTCAAAAGACAAAAATAAGAAACAATATTTCCTGTATTTTTCCAGTTTGTAAAGAAAAAATCAAAATTCCCTGCTTATTAAGGTGATTTTTAAATTCCCTGTATTTTCCAGGTTTTCCCTGTGGAGTGGCAACCCTGTGAATGTAGATTATTTCATTTTATTTTAGAAATTCTGTAATTGAATTTTTATTTGCCAAAACAAATTAAATCTTGAAAAATTCATCAAATGAATATATTCAATAAATCAAAACATAGTTTTACGATACTAAAGCATTTTTCTCATCATGCCATGAATGGCAGGATAAAAAAAATCTTAAAATTTTGAAGCACTGATCACGAAACGAAACCATACCTTATTTATTGTACCAGATAGTTAGCGAATTACGTATAGCACATAGCAGGCAGTCAGTTGATTAAGTTTTATTTTTTTTTTAATCTTATGATGAAAAACTTATTTCAGTATTGTAAAATTATTTTTTATAATTCAATATATTGATTAATATTTTTAAAAAGAAGCTAATATCTGTTAATAGCTCTTTACTTAGTTCTTAATAGAAAGATACTTTAAAATTTCCTTTTACTAAAAAATATATTTAAATATTTTATCTAGATAATTTCATTACTTATAAATGATTCAATTCATTATTATAACAATTCCTAATGTTCAGGGGGCAGATGTTAAAGGATTTTATATTACATTTGTAAAGATTTTGTTACATTTCCTCCATTGTCTTGTATGTTCTTAAGCTATCAAACCATAATGACTGGCAAATAATGCTAGTGTCATCAGTAAGGACACTTTATTGCTTAAACATTAATTTTTGATTGGAAGTATATTTGAAGGCATGTAACATAATCACTGTTAGTAATGACTTAAACTAATATGAAATTCAAAGATTATAATCTTTCAGTTTTAGTACAGTTATGTTTCATAAGTAGAATAAACTACGCAAAAGAAAAAAAAAATCGGGCAGATATCGCAAATGATTATTTTCAATGAACTGGATAATTTAAAAAAAGAGTAGCAGGCTTCGACGACTAGCTTAGTCATTTTTCACACACATCCCAAGCTCTAACTTGAGCAATGTATAGTATATACATGCTATTGCGTAAAAAAGGCAAGCTTCATTATTACCACTTTTGATTAGAATTTTTAAAGCTGTTTTAGAAAGGATCAAAATTAAATTTAGATAATTATTTCCTAACTAAGTTTTTCTATAAAAATAGAAAATTATTCTAAATAAATAATCAACATATAACTAACTATCCAACCATACTTTTATCAATACATAATTTAATACTTAAGACAATCTAACAAAATGAATAATAACCATAAAGTAGTAATAGATAAAGAAATATCATGATATCAAAGGTTTAACTGTAGATAATTACTGAATACTTTTTTATAAAAAAGAACATAAAAACTTTATACACAATAGAGTTTCTCGCACAATAATAAAAATAATATGATTGATATTATGTAAATTATACCTCTGCAATCCATAAAAGTCCTTTCCTAAGTAACTCAAGAGAAGAACAATCTTCTTGGGTTTGCGAACTCTGTTAGAATTTTCAAATACTTTGTTCAGAACCTGCATTAAGAATAATTTTACTACATTAGAAGGTGAATCTTAAGGATCAACACACAATATAAATTCATGAAAACTCCCCTGAAACTCAATTTTTATACATATTCTTTCTACCAATAAGAATTCAGATTGCATAAAAGCGATTTGGCATTGTAATAGAAGAAATGTTACTTGTTTTCAGACTACAACACGTTGAATCCATATGGTTTTAGAAACTTGAATGACGCTAAATATTTCAGACTTTAATTGCATAAAAATAAAGACACACTTATTAAAATTAACTGTTATAACTAATAACTGTTTCTAATTTAAAAATCTTTAGCAAACTGTTGGTTGAAGAATTGTATTGGCTTAATTTTGCGAGAAAATATTAATAGAGAATCTAAAATATTGCAAGCACACATCTCCAATTCTGATTGTATAAAATCATCATGATCTGGTGGCGGCCTTATATTTTAAATGTATCGAACGATAGTGCCAAATTGAGAAAATATCCATCAGTTTATTTGTTATTGTTATGTCTGCAACCTGCTAATACCAGCAAGCCTGCTTGAAAGCAATCAAATTTTTCAGACAGAAGGCACGTTTCTTGTTTTCTCAGTTACACGATCTATGGTCAAGAATAAGAGTTTAGCCACACACAAGTCACAACCGTTTTATAAGAGAGGTCCCAATCGTACACAGGTCGTAATTTTGACCTGAACAAGAGAACCATCAATCTCCAATTCAGTACCCCAAGAGGTATTGATTTGTTATGGGAACTTGATGACTCCCTAAATGTTCATTTTACACATTTCACCATATCTCGAGAACTTTTTGCAAATTGCAAAATTTTTGTACACAATTATAAAATTTGTTTATCCCAAGATAATTCAATTAAAAATTTTTTTAGTAAAATTATTAGTTTTTAGTATTTATTCAAAAATTATAGAAAAATATTAAAATTATATATATTTAGTAAAAGTTATATTTTGCATGGAATTATCTTTGGATAAATGAATAAGATTGTATGCAAAAGTTTTTCAATTTGCTTAAAAAAGTTCTCAAGATATGATGAAATGCGAAAAAAGTATGACATCAGAAGGGGTCAGAAATCAGAATCCAGAAAAATGAGGTATGTTTATTTTGAGAAAGTATGTTTTTTATATGATTTTGTAGTTTAAACTAACATCTACACTATAAGAAGTAGCCATATCAAACTCTTAAGTTTAGAACACAAAGTAATAGGTACAAAAAATCACACCTGAAAATAATCGTTGATTTTAAATTATACATATTTCCATTCATATCCTCTTAATTTGAATATTTTTTCATCAACATTAAAAACAATTTTAAAAATAAAATATGGTTTTTATTTTTAAAACTGAAGAGAAAAAGCCAATTAAAGCTCTTATGTTTTGAACACAAAGTTTCAAGCAATAAAAAAAAAATTTAGCTGGAAAATAAAATATGGTTTTATGAAAATGAGAAACATTTGGATATAAGTAAAAAAGTTTGTAAATTATTTTAAGTACTCTTTGACTGAAAAGAAGCAGCCAATTTAATTTCTTAAATTTTGAACACAAACAAGAAAAGCTAATGGTACAAAAAATAAATAAAAAGACTAAAAACCAACATTATAAGTCTACTATTTAAAACAAATATGTTCAATATAATAGTGTGTAAATAAAGTCATAAAAATCTACCAAAAGCATTGAAGGTATATACATGAAATAATAAAAACTTAAAAGATGAGGGATACTAAACCAAGTAATGAAGTAAAAACCAATTACAACAATGCAATAATCAATTATTACAATGCAATAATCATTAACTAATTTAATCATACAATAAACAGGGGTGATTGTGACTTAAAGTGAAAAACTTCTATATCAAATTATATATATTTAATTTATATTATCTTCATATTCAACACAACTTTTTGAATTAGCATTTATAATTACCTGTTACGGAATATCACACCTTTTTAGCAACGAATTCAAGAAAAAACTATCTTCTTACAAGAATCGCCATATGGGATTCTAAAACTGCACTAATATGAAACGTGGAAATGGATTTTTAAAATTCAAAAATACGAATTGCAATAATGAATTTATAGATAACGTGAAAGCAAAACCCAATGTGTAGTTCTTAAATCACGTATAAATACGAAAATCGTTATTTGATACTACAACCACGAGAATACAAATCGTGGCATTGGATTTCAAAAACGCAGAAATACAAATCGTGATATTAATCCTTTGAACGAGAATCGTGATGTACAATTCTTAAATTGTTTGAATATGAATCGCAATGCGTAACTTTTAAATCAATCAGATAAATAAGAAAATCGATGTTTGATATAAAAATCGCATTGATTAGAATCGTGATATTAGCAAATTCTGGTGAAACTAAAAAATTTACCAAACAAAAAGAATCAAGTAGGAGAAAAATTAAATGAATATTAACGTTTCATTAAAGGGAATTGGTATACCTACTCTGGTAACCTTCTGTTGGATAAGTTTTTAATTCGTGAAAGTTTGTGAGCCAATGGTTCTTGAGATACGCTGAATTCTGCAAATATTCGCAAAAAGGTCAAGGGCGCTGCTTCTAGTTTTTAGATCTGGAAGAATGATACGAAATACCCAGAACTCCGGACTACGCAGGGATTACAATCACCCTTAAACAAATTAACAATAAATACTACACAGCTATAAAAAATTCTACAAAAAGTAACCTCATTATCAGTTTTCAATTTTTTTGAAACTTCAGCATCTTCACTATGAGAATCTTCATTCTGTCTTTTAGTTGAATCCATATTGTTATGGAGAAACAAATTCAGTTTTTGAGAACAACAAGAAAATCGATAGCATTTATTGAGGCCTGAAATATCAAAAATTTATGCATGCATATCAAGCAGAGTTGAAATTAAGAAAATAAAGTCAGTGGTAATAAAGTCCAGTAACTAAAATATATTATTAGCCCATACTCATTTTCACTAGTTTTATTTATTTTCAATATTCAAATGTTATATCATTTATCTAAAATGTTAAAGGATGGTGTTTTCTACACTTAGGGAACGCTGCAAGCTCCATGCTGCCTATACTTCTGGGTTACTGTTTCCAGTGTATTTTAAAGTCATTTGGCTCACAATGTGATGATTGTGTTTTGAGATTTTTGCAAACAGTGTATTTGATTGCTTATTACTTATGTTTACAATGCAAAAGGTGCTAATACTGACGTAAGATGGTGCACAGCTTGCAACAAGAACAAACAGTAATAAACAAATGGAGAGAGGCCAAATCTAGACTGCCAAAAAAGTGAGTTATTCAAAATCTAGCAACCAAATCACCTTTTTTTTATCTATAAAAAAAATGAAACAAATTTTCCCTTCAAACTCACCAGAATTACTTAATAACATTAATCTTATGAAATACGGCAAAATTTGAGCTCAGAAATTATCTAATTTACTTCTTTTATTAAAAACAAAATTATCTGTTTGAAAATATAGCCTCGCAGAATAAGTTGTAGTAAGCAGTTGCAAACTTTTCTAACTGGAACTAGAGTAGGTATTGAGCTCGAAATTGTTATTGTTTACATTCATATTGAAAACACCATCCATACAGTGAAATTAAATGAAAAATCTTAATACAGAGAAAATATAATGCCATATATACAGTAAAACATGAAATTCTATGACAAATAAAGAAATTAAAACATGAAACTGAAAGTCGAAAAACTACAAATATTGATTGCTGGTCCTAATAAGATTTTAGTGGTCTCAGACCAATGTAACTTTTGATCACTGTTAAACATAAATAGCTATTTAATAACACAACATTAAAAAGTAGGTATGCTTTTAATATTATATAAATGAACAAGGTTTTTACTGAGTCTAAGACCTTTGAAGAAAAAACAGGATTGTAAAAATTATAATTATTTATTAATAATTTATTATAATTAAAAATTATAACTAATTTTGCTTTAAAATTTTGCCTGCAAGTTGCATCTTTTAATTTATAATTTCTTTATGCCACATTGACTGCTTCTGAAACAAGCAAATTTTTTTTCCCATTCAAAATCATAAATATTGTGAAAACCTTATATGCAAAAATAAACTATTGGTATAAATTTCATTACCATTCAAAAATATTAATTATGAGAATAAAGGTAGCGATCATGTAAAGTAAGAATGTGGTGACTGAAATTTATCTATATCCTAATGATTTCAAAACAATTTTCATAAATTCTTTTACTTTAATATTCATTAAAAAAAAAAAAAAATTGATCATTATTGTAAATTGAACCTGCGAAATCTGTCTCCTAAAACTAGTGACTACATTACAAAAGTAATTTGTAATCACTTAAAAAAACAAAACAAAAATGTGGTAAGTAGAAATTGTTACAAAGTAGTACTAGATTTTTTTGTAGTTATTTAGTTAGGCTAATATAAGTCAAATAATGAGTTAAGTTTGGGTTTAGTTAATTTGGTATTTATTTAGTAAGTTCCAGCCTGTTCAGTTAAATCCTTTCTGTAGATAATTAACAACAAAAACCACTGGGTTTGGCGTGCTTACAATTTCCAGACAAACATTTTTATTTCATTCTTTAATTTGAAATACCAAGTATTCTTTAAACTACTGATTGCATGTTTTGTAATAATATTGTGTAAAAAAATTAGGAACATTAAAATTCAAGAGCAAACTTGTGGCAATGAGTACACAATAATGATCGCAAAACCACATGGAATATTAATGAAATTTGAGCAAAATAAAGCAATCATGGGGAGATAGTTCTGTATTCTGATCTGCTGGACTACCTACAATTGCCACGGCACCGAATAGATTTTAAAAGTGCAAACATTTAAAAAAAAAATAGGGTTGACTGAAGGTGATACTATAAGTCATACTCTTTGAGTTAACCCATAAGTTGCCAAGATATGGCCAATGTTACGCTACAGATCACAATACGAAACATATTAAATAATTGAACGGTAATTATTTAAGTCATGATTCGTGTTTCGTTTTAAGATACATGAAATGATGGGCAATTTAAAATTCGTTAGAAATAAATACCAGACATTTGATAGAAAAACCACATGAATTTATGATAGAGTTGCATGAATTAAACATATAAAAAAGAAATTGTTCAAATACCCAATGCGAAATTCTCCTGCTATAATACTATATTTAAAACATTGTGCATTAATAATACTATATGGAATAATCGAAGGCTGGCGGATGTTATTTTACAAATTTGTTCTGAAAAGTCCAGGTTTTACAATTGATTATAATTCTTGATCTGTGAGAAATTTTGATTAATTTAATATTTAAAATGATATTTTCCAGATTGTAAAAGTAATATCTCTCCAGAGCAGTTAGATGCATAAAAGAAATAAATGAAAGATATAAAAATTTCGTTTAAACTATGTTTTATTAATTGTTTAATTATTTTTTATTATTTGCTTAAACTATATTTTATTACACGTTTCCTTTCGGTGGGTTGTAAGAAACACAAGTACCATTATTACTAAAGCCTCACCGAAGTAAATAATACTTGATTATTTTCTTACTGCCCCCGAAACAGATAACTACTTAACTTAAATGAGAAAGAAAACTATCATAATTGAAACGGCCTTTTGGAAAGAAAATTAAGTAGCTAAAATATTTAGACTACATTTTCGACTACACCAGAAAAAATAAAAAATTTAACATAAAATATTTAGAGCAATATTGATTGGAAGCAATAATATGAGATTTTTAAAAAAGAACATATAATCTACAAACCACATATAAAACGTGTAATGAGCATAACCACAAAAGACATACATTTATAAACAAGTAAAATTGATCAGTTAAATGATAATGATGTCAATTTCAATCGGCAAAATCTGAAAAAATTGTTAGGTTTCTTTCTGTCGTTTCAAAGCGATAAAATGTTAAATTTTTTTAATCAATTCAAAAAACCGTTTCAACAGTTTAAAAAATCTTGTATTTACGAACTTTTATGAATAGAGCAACTCATTCCAGTTATTTTGAAACAGATTTTTTGACTTAAGGCTTACATCGAAGAAAATAGAGCTGATATTTATCTTTACAGTTAAGGCTATTGCTTGGGTGCCCGACTTTTTAATAAATAGAGGCATTTGATTGGTCAATAACGCCATCGCTTTATCTCGTTTTTTCAGGTTTACTAGAATGGCAGTTTTAGCATTTATGTCTGGCGCAATTTTAATAATACGCAATCTCGGTTTGATAATTTATTCAAATCAATTGAAGTACTTCGTAGACAAAGAATATAGAAGCTAGTATTCCTTCCTTCATTTGTTTGAACTCGAGTTTCATAGATATAAGGAACCCGTAAGAGGAAGTGAAGGTCCTATCTTCCCGGTGGCAACGAAAAATGGGTTACCTTTTTCAATTATCATGGCGACTTTTTCGATCTGTTAAATCGCCACATCGCCAGTGTTCGTGTGCATATTTGTGATGGCTATGGTAATTTATATATTCATTTTATTTATTTTTAACTAATTGAAAACATTGCAAAAATGTTAATATATTACGCTCTATAACACGTAAACATCATTCATGCGTTATTTTCCAATGAGAATGAATTTTAAAATGCATTTATAACTCCACTCTACTAGAAAATTATTTTTATATGCTTAGCAAAAATTGATTGAGCAGTTATTGTTTGAAAAATTTGTTAAATAATTTTTGAGGCGGAAAAGTTCTGATAACCTATTAATGTTTTCATATTTATTCTAACGTAAATGTTTGATCATTAAGAATGTTTCAGCAAAATCTGCGGTAATATAGCGAAAATGAGCTGGCATAAATTTTAGGAAATTATATAGTCTGGAAATCATATAATAATATTGTTGTTGACGTATGCCTGTTTGAATGTACGTCGATTGGTCTTGCTTTCCAGTGGCGCCATCTATGGCCAAGAATTTGTGTATAATAATAAATTAACTTATATGGAAGCAAATGCTTGTGTTTTGTGCTGTTTGTCATTAAAATTTAGGAAGGATGATACTAAAATTTATATTATGTATAGCTTATAATAAGGAATATTAAAATATGAAGGTTGCATTTCTTAGGATAGTTGTATTAAGAAAAAAATAGTGATTAAGGTTATGAGTATTTTAGATCTACAATTCATCTTTATTTATTTCTAAATTTCATAGTAACTATCGTAGGAATTGTATGCCTTGCATTCGAAATTGATAGATGAGATTAATTTATTCAAAATAAATTAGTTAACTCTGTAAATGAGTAACATCATATTAGGATTTTTGTCACTGTGAGAAATTTATTTCTTTTGATATGGTTACTTTTTAATAGTATTAATGTTACTTTTTGTTTCTCTAGTGGTTCATGATTCATATATAGGATTATAGGAAAGACTGGACACATGTCTGTGTACCTCATACAGTTGGCTGATAGTGGAAAAGATAAACTTGACGAAACAATGGCTAGAAAACTTTCTATTTCGATAGTTTATTAGACTTTCTATATAAATGTTTTTAAAATGGTTTTCTTTTTATTGTTCTTTCCAAGTTCAGCATAACAACTAAAGCTAATTTACGAACTTAATTCGATGTTAATTAATTTCTAGGGTGACTCATTCTTTAACATTTTCAAGTACTTATAAGTTTAAGAATGTTCCAAAAAACTTATTACTACATTAGCTATATTATGTACCTTTTACCGCAATTAATATTGCATTAATGACATCAATGAAAGTTAAGGGACATTTTTACAGACTGTCGAAACTGATAAGTTCCCATTTTTGGGTAAAACATTGCAGTTTTATCAAAATATTTGTAGTTTAATTTTGATCTTTAAAAATATGAAGGTTTTCTGTAATGCATATATAATCAGCTTTACTTCTAGAATTTTTAGAATAATTATACTATCGATTATTTTTAATTTCACCTTTACATGGATATATTTATAAGCACTAGGAAATTTTATTATTCTCCCTTTGTTATTTGTGTGCATGTCATGAAACGTGCCAAAGTTCTGATTTTCATAACTATACAAAATTTAATCTGCAGTTTGGGAGTAATGTTAAAATAATTGTGTCTGATTTATAAAAAATTAAGTTTTGTTTTTAAAATACATGATTAAATGATCAAGTCATTGATAATAATTTAAGTTCTTTAACTCTTGTAATGCACATTCATATATTGTTTCTCTGGTTCATTTCAATTAATGCTAAAAATGTAATTCTATTAAAATTGATTAAGTAGTAACTTACAATTCTATTATAAATTATAGTAAAATGCAGTTCATTAGTCAAATAAAGTTATTGTAGGGTAAAAGTACAGTTTATTAAAAGTAAATTTAATTTTGGGTATGAAATGAAAAAAGCACTGATAATGTATCAAACAGATGCATTATCTTATGTCTGATGTTTAAGTTATGAATTATTTTCACAGCGTGCCTATAAACTCCTCTCATATAGCATTTTCTTATGTTACCATTTTTGGATAATGAGCTTTAGTTTCAGGATAAAAGTTTTAAAAATTGTGTTTTATGAAAGTTTAATTAGTGTTTTTAACTGAGTGAAAGATAGTTATTGTGACATCTATAAGAACAGATGTCAGTACACACATTTGCACTAAACATTTCACACAGCTGCCACCTCTACTGGATTTTACCAGTTTCTCCTGATCTACTGGTTTAATAAAAATTCTTCTAGATTTTGTACATTTAAGAAAATTTAGTAAGTCTTCTAAAACAAAATCAAGATTGAAATAGTATTTTTTTATGGATTATTTCCTGCTTGAATATTTAAATAAGTATTACTAATACATAAGGAAGCGAACATCATTTTTAGAAATCAGGTCAAAACTTTTTTTTCATCTAAAATGTTCAGTTCATTCAGAATTTTCTTTTTCAATAAATTAATAAAATCTTTTAAATATCTTTGATGAATTAAATGACTATTAATATTCAAAATTATGAGTAAACATAACTCATAAAAATTCAAGTATGTTTAATATCAATTTTAACTGGAAAATATTGCAGTTTTTCTATTTTGATGACTAGAAAAATCTCTAAAATTCCGTTTGTACAAAATATTTAGTACATTTTGCAAAAATTATCATACAATTTATATTATTTCATAAAACCTACTGGTTTTTTTCCTATCAGTATTGGCTGCTGTGAATTCACAATTTTTCAGAGGAGAGTTTCGTCAATTTGAAATATAGTTATTAAGGTTTATACTTACTTATGTATACGTAACTTTTTCTTCCGTATGCTGGAAATTTTCTTAAAGCAGAAAATCTACGCAATGAAATTCTATAAACCACATTAACTTTTACAGGTGTAAACAATAAAAATTTCTGTAATAAAGCAAGAATAATGAACTTTTTTCATAATTTGTTTAATTATTTCAGCAATTTAGTTCAGGACGATATTTAGGTGAATGTATTTCCTTAAATATCTTTGTATTTTTAAGTAGTCAGAATTTCAAAGGCTAAGCAAACTAAAGTTGATGAATTTATTGTGTTATATTAGTTCTTATGCTCACGAAAATTTCAATTTTTTTTCCTGTAAATGATTAAGTGTATATTTATGTGTCTTAAGTATTAGAATCTAAAAATCATACTAAGCATTTTATGCTTGTCTGTCTCAGACTAATATTACTGCTATGCTTAGTAGGTAAGTTTAAAGATATGTCCAATGTTCGGTATGACACGAAATTCTGTAAAATGTAAAGACACATGTTTAAATTTTTTTTTAATATATTGTTTTAATAAATTTAGAAAAAAATTACTACTGAACCTTTAAGTAATACTTTAAAGTTGTGAACGCCTAATTAAAATTATTCGTAGGCTTTGAATGAATGGCAAATATTATTCTGAATTTTTGTTTTATTTTCAATTGCACTTCATTTGTGAATTTTTTTATTTTACTGATATAATTTTTTTCTCCTTTGAAAACCCAAGCAAAATTTAAAAACTTTTTCTTTTCTTCTAAGCTAGTTTCCTTAAGCATGTGAAATATAACGTTAAAAATTAATAAAATAGATTTTCGTATAGAATTATTGGTTGAATTATGTTAAACTTCCATTTTTAAATTAGATGTTTCTTGCATTGGGTAGATTTACATAATCAGTTTTTTCTAGCCTTAAAAGAGCTTACCAATCCTGGTACTATTTGAATATAATTCCCATGTTTGAAGAAACAACTACTAAGTAATAATTTTTAAAACCGTTCAATCAAAGAACGAATTCTTTTGTGCAAATTTCTTATTTATATTTGTTATTTGTATCTAAAACTATTGTTTGTATGCTTATTAATACATTTATTTGAGATTATGAATTTAGGTGAAGTGTATTTAAGTTGAAGTCTTATCAAAAGTGTGATGTCTTCTGAAATTTCAGAAAAATGGAAAACTGTGACAACTATTTTGTTAAATAAAGTTTCAAATTGTTTATATAACCAGTAGTAATTTTGACTTCTTTCATTTATTATAGCTTCGTACTTAAATTTTTATTGAAGTAAAAATTCATACCCAATGCAGCTACAAGAAGTTGATTACAGTATCTTTGTACGAAAAATAAACAAAATTGGTAAAGATATTTGTATTTTTTTGTAAATAATGCTTGAAATATTACATAAAAAAATCTGCTGAGATATGCTTTGAGTTATCACTTTTAAAATATGAAAATAGTGTGTAAATTTCAATTTGCGATATCTACCAACTTAAAATTCTACACTTTTAAATTTTATTAAAATTTTTCAGATAAATTTTCTATCCTATTTTCCTTACATATACTAAGTACATTTTTTAAACGTTTGAACTTCAGGTAATGAAATAATTTGGGAAATTCTATACAAAATGCAATCAGATCCATTAAAATGGAACAGTTGCTCAGCAATAACTCTACTTGGAGCAATTTCTCTGTTTCTGAGCAATTAACAACTAGAACACTTTTCAGAAGAACACAAAATACTTATAAAAAAAAGCGCAATATACTCAGAAAATA